CGTCATTATGCACTGCGACTCAGTCGCCCCACCTCTCGCAGAGGATGGCTAGATGACTTTCCTTCTTTGCGGAATATAACTTTGAGGTGAAGTATAAGCCGGAAAAGCATAATGCTTTGGCTGATGCGCTGCCACGCAGCCCAGACTATAAGCATGCTCCTGTTACAACTGTAACGTCGACTGTGACGGATTTGATCCGCACCGCGTATGCGGGTGATGTGATGTGTGTAGCGCTGCTACGAGCTCTCGAGAGCAAGGGCATTTGTAAACTCGGACAAGAAATTTTCACCAAGACTGTGTGCACGATTGCACCGATATTCGTTGAATAACGGCTTGCTATAATATAGCACCGAACACCACAAATTGTGGTTCTTCATGATGAGGATGTGAAATGCCGCAACCTGTATGAGGCTCTCGGCACGCCACACAGTGGTCATCTCGGTCGTGAGAAAGCGTACAACTTTGTTAGTCACCACAATTGGTGGCCCAAGCTGTACAAATGGGCGAGCACCTATGTGCGCGCGTGTGAACGTGTCAACGGGTAAAACCCTCACCAAATGCGACTGCGCCCGCTGGCCAGCTTACCGATACTCACTGGGTGCTGGCAGTTCGTGGGTTGGGACTTTGTGTTTGGCCTGCCGAAAGATTCGGCGGGCAACATAGGTGTCGTGGTATTCGTCGACCGGTTAAGCAAGATGGCATATTTGGCGGTGGTGCCAGACACCATCGACGGGGTCGGTACAGCAACGCTGTTTGTAGCTCGTGTTTTTCGACAACACGGACTCTGCAGTCGATTCTCTCTGAGAGAGACCCCCGTTTCACGAAAATCTTTTGGTCGACTATCTTCAAGGTGCTAGGCACCAAGTTGGATATGTCGACAGCGGAAAATCCGTAGACCGATGGCCAAACCGAAAGGGTGAATCGAGTCATCGGAGACATTCTTCGCAGCGTCTGCGCCGAGACGCCGAGGTGCTGGAGCGCCATGTTGCCACTCGTAAAGTTTGCGCTGAACAACGCAGTGCATTTTCTACCGGCTACACGCCGTTATACGTGAACGGGCTGATTCAACCTCGCGTCCCGCTGACGCCGCCATTTCATGGCTCAGGGCTTAGTTGGGGGGGGGGAATAGCTGAACGGCTAGTTGATATCAGCCCCCTCACCATCTGCAAAGAAGTCAATGACTTCTTGTTCACCAGACTGATTGTCCTGCGACTCGTTCGCGATGCGATGGCTAAAAAACCCACGACCTGCAGAAAGAATATGCAGATGAAAAAGGAAGAGGCAAAGTAGAAAGCTTTAAGATCAAAACCTGGTTTTAATAAATCCAAAAACCTTCCTACGCATGCAGCCTCTACTATCTTCCTGACAACGCTTCGTCCACGGTTTATTGGACCGTTAAAGGTTGTGGCCAAGCGGGGCCTAGCGTATACGCTGAAATTTTCAGAACGAATGCACACCCACCCGGTGTTTTAGGTGGGTTTGCTCAAGCCGAATCGGAAGTCGGCGCATGTGAACGCGGAAGCGTTGGCGCCAGAATGGATCCCACGGCCCCTCGGCCCCTCGGCCTTTTGGCCACCTAGAAGCTAAACCAGCAACTGGTTCTGAGCACGGAGTGCAACAGCCTCCATCTCCAATGAAGCCAAGCGCTCGAACGCTGCCTGCAGCGACGCATTCGCCTGCTCCACGGCAAGGAGTCGCTCAGACAGAGCGCGGTAGTCCTTAAGACTAGGCAACCGGCGCACGACGCGCTCCAAATCATCAAGAGCGTCTGCACAGCGATATGCTACTTCAGCATGACGCTCAGCGGGGCCCCGATCACGAAGGATCTCATCCTCAAGGGCTCGAAGAGCATCGCAAGTCACCGGACGG